AATCTCAAAGTTTGCGTGGAAAGTTGCTTACGCAGTTTTCTGACCCCGTTTTGGTGCGTAAGCAAGCTTGATAAATGAGGCCCCAGATCATTACTGCCACAGAGCTTCTTCAGATTTAGTCACAATCTTCTCAGCTGGTTCTGTCCCAGAGGCAGTAGCTGTTTAAGGACCAAGTTCACTTTTTTCACTACATCTGCGGTGGTCTCTAGTATAAATGAATGCCCTGTGAGTTGATTTCTGTGGGGAACAAAGTTCTGGCGCTCCTGTTTCAAGAACAAGAAGTGGTTCAGACCAGAACCTGCAAACCGCCATTACCCATGGCAGCCATCTTGAATCGGGTCAGCAGCACCATGTTTTAGAGTCTTATTTCTTGATATTCGGACATTTTTCTTCTGATTGGCTAACAGCAACATGACTCTACCCCTGACTCTGGTTGCTCAGCAACATTAATATTTTATCTCCACAAATAACACAAGCCTGGAGGAGTTCTGCTGTGTGGTGGAGGTGCTAATACTAATGGTTAGCTTCTACTAGTTGAGACGTTCTCTGCTGCTTCCTGGATGCTAAACCGACAACAGCCTTCCCCGTCATGAGTCAAGATGGGTGAGTCCATGAATGTTAGTGAACTTGGTCTTTAAATGAGCTTCATGCAGTTTCATTGATCTTCTAATTAATTATTCAGATTTACATTCTGGTTGTTAGGGTTTCACCAAAAACCTCTCCGCTGCTTTAAACCAACTAGATTTTCTAAAACTAAAGTTGTTTACCTCTCTGAAGAAGACAGCTTTTTGTTGAGCCATCAGTTCCCTTTGTTTGCACCTATTAAAGAACGTCCAGGACCAGTTAGCTCCAGCCATTCTTCCTTCTCTTTATGTGTGTGTTTCATGGGCTGTCAGAGCACCTGTGTCCCTAATTGGACGATGTGCGACGTGCTCGTCTATTACTTACGTTATTTACCATTTAGAAGAACTAGAAGGCCGAGGATGAAGTAACAAAATACTCTGGTGTAAAACAAAATGTTCAGGATGTGATTTTGCATCTTTACCGTGTTTCTGTGTCCATCGCCGTATTTCACCCTTTACGTTCTGCACCCTTTTGTCTGCAGCTTTCTGTGCACCCTGTCATGTTGCTGCCTGGCCTGGCATGTGAGCAGCACTGTGAATGGGCTCGTTATTGCTTTTTCTTATCCGCTGGTTCTGTGTGATTCCTTTGGAACCATCCAGGTTGTTAACAGCCGACCTAGCTTAACTTCGGTTTAGGCCTTATGAGCCCAGATCTGGTTTGGATTGCATCACCTGGGGCTCAGGTGCTCTGTCATCACAAATACAATTATGACCTGATGCATTGCATTCCACCTGGATGGTAGTCTTAGTATATTTGGGGAAATTGTACCATTATTACATGAATGCCCAGATCCTTCATGTGTTATTCACGTTTTCATTATTAGCGTTCTCATGGAGGGGCTCCATGTAATTATTGGAAATCCAGATTTATTCTATAACAACTGAAAGCAAAGGAAGAACTGAACTCAAAAGGAGGATATGATGTTTTAAAATAAACATAAATAAAGATAAAAACACCGGTTTGATTGGATCTACAGAAATTAAGGATTAATAACCAGATTAGATGTGAACACTTTGTTTAAATGGGTAAAGGCGAATGAAACTAGATGTTCCTGCTGCAACCATTTACAGCTGGTGTTGGTTCTCCTAGCCCAGGGGCTAGACACGGGTTTGCCTCCATGTTGGACCCACCTGCTGGATGGAGCAGAACCAGAACCGATGGAGTCTCTTTTCTATGTTCTGTGCTTCAGCTACCATTCAGTTTAAGTGAGCGCTTCTCTTTTGTTTTTACTGCCATCGATTATCCATGGCAGCCATCTTGAATCGAGTCAGCAGCGCCATGTGATGTGAATGGCTCTCAGCTGTAGAGAGTGTATGCTTGACTGTACACACCCTCTTGATTCTGTTGGATGACATCACCCCTCACAGACAGCTCACTGCATGATGTCACCACCTCATGTCCCTCTGTCCTCCTTCAGCAGAGTCATGTTCATTGCTTGGCTCTGCCGTGACGGGCATGTCTTTCTCTCAGAAAGATGCGTTTGTTTTACTCTTCATTCATAGAGACGGTTCTAGGAATAATTGAGACTAACAATGCTCTGCCTCCTGGTGAAACTGGCTTCCTGGTCTGTGTGCTGGAAGCTGAAGCAGCCTTGGCTCTTCCACCTCTTCCATTCGCTGATTCTCTAAGAAGTTCTCTGAACGTTTATGTACAAGTTATTCCAACAGAGAGATACTTTATTGGGCCATGGACGCACTGAGGCGTACTGACAGGCAGTAGCTACACTGAGTGTGTATCGACTGTAGGGAACCGGATCCATGTTTGTGATGGTGATGGGCAATGCCTTGTTTCAGTCTCAATTCATTTCAGCAGACCTGCTGCCATCAGAGCCTGTTTTTGTTTTTGATACCATGACCTCTGCTGCTGCATGAGAGTCTGTGGTGTGGGATGATGCTCACACCTGTGGCGTGTGATCGGCACCTTTTTTGTGTCTCCAAGGTGACAACTCGGTGAAAAAGGTACCGGTGAAACAGCAGCCCCCCGTCACTGTGGCGGATCTGTTTGCTGGTGCAAAGTACCACCTGAGGGTTTACTCCCATGAGCTCAACAGCGTCAGCAGCAAAATTGTCACGTTTAAAACTAAAGCAGGTGAGACGACACCTGGCCAGGTGGAACCACTGTTCTAGCCAGGTGGGATGCTCTCCATGTAACTGTCACTGGTGATGTTTTTCTGCTTATGTGTTTTGATCGTATCTTAATTCATACAGGTAATGTTGCTGAAATATGTTTAAGATAATCATACATTCTAATGAAGGTTATAATTATAAACACACATCCAACCATAGACATGAACACGTAGACGCCCCATTGGTCGCTGGAGAGCGTAACAGCATCACCGGCTTATTGGGTGGGTCTCCTCACTCTCCAAAGTCAAAGCAGAATGAGTAACTGCCTGTTTTTGTGCAGCCTGCGGTTACAACAACCGGCGTGCATTTGAAAACAGATCACGTTGGATTACTAGTGACTCTCTGGCCTACCTGATGGAATTTTATATTTTAATTTACTTGAATTTCTTTTGTTTAATTATGATTGTATTTTAATTATCATGCCATACCTTGTGGCTGACTGTGTGAAAAAGGTTTATATAATGTGTTTTTTAGTTGGGTCAGCACCGTCCTCAGCACAAATGAATGCACTGTGGGCGAATGGAGACCCATCTAAGATGGCGACCGGCCACTGCGGCAGCTCCAGTAGGCAGCACCAGTTCACGGGGCGTCTACGTATATGTGTATCTATCTATCTATCTATCTATCTATCTATCTATCTATCTATCTATCTATCTATCTATCTATCTATCTATCTATCATCTATCATCTATCTATCTATCTATCTATCTATCTATCTATCTATCTATCTATCTATCTATCTATCTATCTATCTATCTATCTATCTATCTATCTATCTATCTATCTATCTATCTATCTATCTATCTATCGTTCACCCAGTAATCCGTGAGTTGCCGGTTCAAACCCAGGCTCTGTCTGGGTCAGTCGTTGTGTCCTTGGGGGAGACACTTCACCCTCCTCACCTGCTGGTGGTGGTTGGAGGGAGGCGGTGCCTGTTTTCAGCAGTGTTGCTGTGATGTAGCTCATCACCACCAGTGTGTGAATGAATGAAGGTAAAGTGCTTTGGAGTCCTGTTAGTCAGAACAGTGCTATGCAGATACAGATCCTTTCCCCTCTGCCCCTGCTGTGGTCAGCTGTGTTTGGTAGTTCCTGAAAGAGATTGGCCTTGCCCCCTCTGTAAAGTGTGGGTCAATGGCAGAAATGACCGCCTTGTAGTCATGTGACCTGGTTGGGAGGTGAAAGGTCATCTTTTTCATGCCGAGCTGAATCCAAAGATCTTTCTGATGAGAGGCGATTGATTAACACCTGAAGATCTCTCTGTGTGTGTGTGTGTGTGTGTGTGTGTGTGTGTGTGTGTGTGTGTGTGTGTGTGTGTGTGTGTGTGTGTGTGTTCTTCAGCATACATAAACCAGGTGGACATAGCCACTCAGGGCTGGTTCATCGGCCTGATGTGTGCCATCGCCCTCATCATCCTCATCCTGCTGATTGTCTGCTTCATCAAGAGGAGTCGTGGGGGCAAATACCCAGGTACAGCTGTTCACCTAGCACGTCTTTTCTAAACTTACTTCTCTGCTCACGTGACCAGAACCCAGACTTTTAACGTCGTCGCTGTCTGAGACTCTCTGACACATACACAGTAGTTATGACCTTTATTGTGATTCAGTTTTATTCCAGTATTTCTGCACACCTGTTCTATGATGATGCTATAGTCTCACACATTACCTTCACCTGAGCTCTACTAATGAAGGCATGGTTTATTGGTTAAAATGGTTTAATTGGTTATACCATACCAAGTATATTTCTATAGCCCATTTAAACACGGCATGAGAGCCGACCAAAAACACATAATTAAAAAATAAAAACTAAATCCATTAAAATCGAGTAATACAAATGGAAAAGAAAAGGAAAAAGAGAATAAGTTAGACTGAATTAAAAGCCAGAGGATAAAAGTGAGTTTTTAAATGAGAGTTAAAAAGGGAAAGAGAGGAAGAGAGTCTGATCAGGAGGGGCGAGTGGTTCCAGAGCTTTGGAGCACACGCTCCCCGCGGGATTTACAGCGGGAGCTAGGGACATGAAGAAGGAGCTGGTCGGCTGATCGGAGGGATCGCGTAGGGACATGAGGGTGAATGAGCGCAGACAAGTAGCCAGGTGCTAAGTTATTGAGGGATTATGTATGTGATATATGGTTATATCCATTAGAATTGTAAACAAACACTAATTCAGCAATTCCTTCATGTTTTTAACCCTCGGGAGGCAGGCGTTACATTTGCAACGTTAAAACCTACCTACCTGGTTAACCCACGTACGTACTTCATGAGCATTTTTTAACTCAGGCGTACCCCTGAAGGACTTCGTTGTTCATCCTTTTATCAAAACTTATTTTGAGCCCGAGAGGGTTCAACTGGTAGTCAATCAAATCAAATCAAAGGGGCTGAAAGATGATCTGTTTACCAGACCTTCTCATGATAGGATTCTGCAGCTTCGACATAATACAATTCTTTATTCACCGTCATCAATAAAATCTAATGAGTAATGATGCAGGTTTTTTTTATTTTTCAAGCAACCCTGGCTTTGATGTGATGTTTTACAGTTTCTGTAATGTCTAGGTGGTGTTTTCCTGACTGCTCTCACACACTATCTGGGTAGGTGTTCACGCAGGACGCAGAAGGTTCCTGACTAACAGCCAGAGACTAATGAGAACTGGAACGAGTGAATAACAACTAAACGTTTTACAGGATGTACTGACCTAACTGGTGCAGCTTTAACCCTCTGACTGGCAGATCAACCACTCCCTGTGTTTTACTGAATTCAACTGGAAGTAGACTCTTAATAATATGTGGGTGTTTAATAAAGTAAAAGGAATGATATATTAACATTACATTATTACACTTATATTAATATAACTTTACCATTTAGCATAATCCCTCATTGCACCAAAGAACATTTAAAGAAAAAGCTAAATATGAAGTGAGCATTAACGGGTGAGGGTCAGGGCAGTAACCCACAAGAGTTCTGCTCAGAATGAAACTTTCTCCAAAGTGGATCCAGTATGACCAGTGTCAGAGCCGAGACACCATCACTGACACGCGTAGGATCTATAGATTCTTCTGCAAGCTCCACCTGCAGCGTCATGTGGATCACTTCAGGTTCAAGCTGCAGAATATGAACACCTGCAGAGTGAACGTAGAATAACTTTTGCTTGTCATGAACACCAGGAAACAGTACAGAGAGTGAGTCTGTTTTAATTGCCCTAAGATGCCCAGCTGGCTCCTCCAGACGTTTAACAACCTGTTGTCACTTTAAATGAAACACTGAGAGAAGGTCTCTACAGGGTCACCTATAAAAGCACGCTTCCATAATATAAGTTGTGCCATTTATGAAGCGGTCAGCAGTGTTTGTACATTGATTATTATGTTATTTAATTGAACGTGTGTATCCTGTATGGACCAAGCAGGTGTTGTATAGATTATCAGCTGGATTTTGATTTGGGAATTAATTTAGTGTCTAACACGCTCAGCTTTAAATGGAGCCTGACCCGCTTCCTCTGTTCTCCTTTTGCTAGTTCGTGATAAAAAGGATCTCCCCTTGGACTCGGTGGATCAGAAAGACCCGGATGGATCCTTTGATTATCAGTAAGTGTAAACAGACAGACTTGTCTCTGCATGCACTTGATCATAGAACCAAAGTTTTTTAAACTAGACTCAGAGTCTGCTGATGACAGGTATTAAATCCTGGGCTGGAGTGTTTTATTCTAGGTGTTTATGCTTAAAACCCATCAAAGCAAGTGGACAGGAAATAAAAAAGTCTGCATTAATTAAAATCAGCAAGTAAAAAAATAAAATCATGGTTGTTTTTAAGGTTGCTTGAAATGCTGGTTTATGTTCCATTTGATTTTAATCTGAATTACCTTCTTGGGCCCTCTACTGCAGATGTAAGACTGGTCTTTGGTGGTATGACCAACAGCTCATGCCAACTGAGCATGCTCATATGGCTAATTCTAACTGGATAAAACAGCTGTTGGAGTCCTTCATTCATAACAGCCAGCTGGACTAAAAGTTCCTGATTCTGACAGACAGGTGCTGACCTCAACCAGGTCCTAGCTATGGTTGGTCCTCCTAGTTATAGCTGGTCTTACCTGTAGCTGTAGTTATTGTCTGTAGCTGGTCCTAGCTGTAGTTGTTCCTAGCTGTAGTTGTTTCTAGCTGTAACTGGTTTTAGCTGTAGTTGGTCCTAGCTGTAGTTGTTTCTAGCTGTAACTGGTCTTAGCTGTAGTTGGTCCTAGCTGTAGTTACTGTCTGTAGCTGGTCCTAGCTGTAGTTGTTCCTAGCTGTAATTGGTCGTAGCTGTAGTTGTTTCTAGCTGTAGTTGTTCCTAGCTGTAGCTGTTCCTAGCTGTAGTTGTTCCTAGCTGTAGTTGTTCCTAGCTGTAACTGGTCTTACCTGTAGTTGTTCCTAGCTGTAACTGGTCTTACCTGTAGTTGTTCCTAGCTGTAGTTGTTCCTAGCTGTAACTGGTCTTACCTGTAGTTGTTCCTAGCTGTAGTTGTTCCTAGCTGTAACTGGTCTTACCTGTAGTTGTTCCTAGCTGTAGTTGTTCCTAGCTGTAACTGGTCTTACCTGTAGTTGTTTCTAGCTGTAGTTGTTCCTAGCTGTAACTGGTCTTACCTGTAGTTGTTCCTAGCTGTAGTTGTTCCTAGCTGTAACTGGTCTTACCTGTAGTTGTTTCTAGCTGTAGTTGTTCCTAGCTGTAACTGGTCTTACCTGTAGTTGTTCCTAGCTGTAACTGGTCTTAGCTGTAGTTGTTTCTAGCTGTAACTGGTCTTAGCTGTAGTTGTTTCTAGCTGTAGTTGTTCCTAGCGGTAGTTGTTGCTAGCTGTAGTTGTTCCTAGCTGTAGTTGTTCCTAGCTGTAACTGGTCTTAGCTGTAGTTGTTTCTAGCTGTAACTGGTCTTAGCTGTAGTTGTTTCTAGCTGTAGTTGTTCCTAGCTGTATTTGTTCCTAGCTGTAGTTGTTTCTAGCTGTAGTTGTTCCTAGTTGTAACTGGTCTTAGCTGTAGTTGGTCCTAGCTGTAGTTGTTTCTAGCTGTAACTGGTCTTAGCTGTAGTTGTTCCTAGCTGTAGTTACTGTCTGTAGCTAGTCCTAGCTGTAGTTGTTCCTAGCTGTAATTGGTCTTAGCTGTAGTTGTTTCTAGCTGTAGTTGTTCCTAGCTGTAGCTGTTCCTAGCTGTAGTTGTTCCTAGCTGTAGTTGTTCCTAGCTGTAACTGGTCTTACCTGTAGTTGTTCCTAGCTGTAGTTGTTCCTCGCTGTAACTGGTCTTACCTGTAGATGTTCCTAGCTGTAACTGGTCTTACCTGTAGTTGTTCCTAGCTGTAGTTGTTCCTAGCTGTAACTGGTCTTACCTGTAGTTGTTCCTAGCTGTAGTTGTTCCTAGCTGTAACTGACCTTACCTGTAGTTGTTCCTAGCTGTAACTGGTCTTAGCTGTAGTTGTTTCTAGCTGTAACTGGTCTTAGCTGTAGTTGTTTCTAGCTGTAGTTGTTCCTAGCTGTAGTTGCTGCTAGCTGTAGTTGTTCCTAGCTATAGTTGTTCCTAGCAGTAACTGGTCTTAGCTGTAGTTGTTTCTAGCTGTAACTGGTCTTAGCTGTAGTTGTTTCTAGCTGTAGTTGTTCCTAGCTGTATTTGTTCCTAGCTGTAGTTGTTTCTAGCTGTAGTTTTTCCTAGCTGTAACTGGTCTTAGCTGTAGTTGTTTCTAGCTGTAGTTGTTCCTAGCTGTAACTGGTCTTAGCTGTAGTTGTTTCTAGCCGTAGTTGTTCCAAGCTGTAACTGGTCTTAGCTGTAGTTGTTTCTAGCTGTAACTGGTCTTACCTGTATTTGTTCCTAGCTGTAGTTGTTCCTAGCTGTAACTGGTCTTAGCTGTAGTTGTTTCTAGCTGTAACTGGTCCTAGCTGTAGTTGTTCCTAGCTGTAACTGGTCTTACCTGTAGTTGTTCCTAGCTGTAGTTGTTCCTAGCTGTAACTGGTCTTAGCTGTAGTTGTTTCTAGCTGTAACTGGTCTTAGCTGTAGTTGTTTCTAGCTGTAGTTTTTCCTAGCTGTAACTGATCTTAGCTGTAGTTGTTCCTAGCTGTAGTTGTTCCTAGCTGTAGTTGTATCTAGCTGTAGTTGTTACTAGCTGTAACTGGTCTTAGCTGTAGTTATTTCTAGCTGTAGTTTTTCCTAGCTGTAACTGATCTTAGCTGTAGTTGTTCCTAGCTGTAGTTGTTCCTAGCTGTAGTTGTTTCTAGCTGTAGTTGTTCCTAGCTGTAACTGGTCTTAGCTGTAGTTGTTTCTAGCTGTAGTTTTTCCTAGCTGTAACTGGTCTTTGCTTTACTTGTTTCTAGCTGTAGTTATTCCCAGCTGTAACTGGTCTTAGCTGTAGTTGTTTCTAGCTGTAGTTGTTCCTAGCTGTAACTGGTCTTGGCTGTAGTTGTTCCTAGCTGTAATTGGTCTTAGCTGTAGTTGTTTCTAGCTGTAGTTGTTCCTAGCTGTAGCTGTTCCCAGCTGTAGTTGTTCCTAGCTGTAGCTGGTCTTAGCTGTAGTTATTCCTAGCTGTAACTGGTCTTAGCTGTAGTTGTTTCTAGCTGTAGTTGTTCCTAGCTGTAACTGGTCTTGGCTGTAGTTGTTCCCAGTTGTAATTGGTCTTAGCTGTTGTTGTTTCTAGCTGTAGTTGTTCCTAGCTGTAGTTGTTTCTAGCTGTGGTTGTTCCTAGCTGTAGTTGTTCCTAGCTGTAGTTGTTTCTAGCTGTAGTTGTTCCTAGATGTAACTGGTCTTAGCTGTAGTTGTTTCTAGCTGTAGTTTTTCCTTGCTGTAACTGGTCTTAGCTGTAGTTGTTCCTAGCTGTAGTTGTTCATAGCTGTAGTTGTTCCTAGCTGTAGTTGTTTCTAGCTGTAGTTGTTCCTAGCTGTAGTTGTTCCTAGCTGTAACTGGTCTTAGCTGTAGTTGTTTCTAGCTGTAGTTATTCCCAGCTGTAAATGGTCTTAGCTGTAGTTGTTTCTAGCTGTAGTTGTTCCTAGCTGTAACTGGTCTTGGCTGTAGTTGTTCCTAGCTGTAACTGGTCTTGGCTGTAGTTGTTCCTAGCTGTAATTGGTCTTAGCTGTAGTTGTTTCTAGCTGTAGTTGTTCCTAGCTGTAGCTGTTCCCAGCTGTAGTTGTTCCTAGCTGTAGCTGGTCTTAGCTGTAGTTTTTCCTAGCTGTAACTGGTCTTAGCTGTAGTTGTTCCTTGCTGTAGTTGTTCCTAGCTGTAGTTGTTCCTAGCTGTAGTTGTTTCTAGCTGTAGTTGTTCCTAGCTGTAGTTGTTCCTAGCTGTAACTGGTCTTAGCTGTAGTTGTTTCTAGCTGTAGTTTTTCCTAGCTGTAACTGTTCTTTGCTTTAGTTTTTTCTAGCTGTAGTTATTCCCAGCTGTAACTGGTCTTAGCTGTAGTTGTTTCTAGCTGTAGTTGTTCCTAGCTGTAACTGGTCTTGGCTGTAGTTGTTCCTAGCTGTAGTTGGTCTTAGCTGTAGTTGTTTCTAGCTGTAGTTGTTCCTAGCTGTAGCTGTTCCCAGCTGTAGTTGTTCCTAGCTGTAGCTGGTCTTAGCTGTAGTTATTCCTAGCTGTAACTGGTCTTAGCTGTAGTTGTTTCTAGTTGTAGTTGTTCCTAGCTGTAACTGTTCTTGGCTGTAGTTGTTCCCAGTTGTAATTGGTCTTAGCTGTTGTTGTTTCTAGCGGTCGTTGTTCCTAGCTGTAGTTGTTCCTAGCTGTAACTGGTCTTAGCTGTAGCTGTTCCTAGCTGTAGTTGTTCCTAGCTGTAACTGGTCTTAGCTGTAGTTGTTTCTAGCTGTAGTTATTCCTAGCTGTAACTGGTCTTAGCTGTAGTTGTTTCTAGCTGTAGTTGTTTCTAGCTGTAGTTGTTCCTAGCTGTAGCTGTTCCTAGCTGTAGTTGTTCCTAGCTGTAACTGGTCTTAGCTGTAGTTGTTTCTAGCTTTAGTTGTTCCTAGATGTAAATGGTCTTACCTGTAGTTGTTCCTAGCTGTAGTTGTTCCTAGCTGTAACTGGTCTTACCTGTAGTTGTTCCTAGCTGTAGTTGTTCCTAGCTGTAACTGGTCTTACCTGTAGTTGTTCCTAGCTGTAACTGGTCTTAGCTGTAGTTGTTTCTAGCTGTAACTGGTCTTAGCTGTAGTTGTTTCTAGCTGTAGTTGTTCCTAGCTGTAGTTGTTGCTAGCTGTAGTTGTTCCTAGCTGTAGTTGTTCCTAGCTGTAACTGGTCTTAGCTGTAGTTGTTTCTAGCTGTAACTGGTCTTAGCTGTAGTTGTTTCTAGCTGTAACTGGTCTTAGCTGTAGTTGTTTCTAGCTGTAGTTGTTCCTAGCTGTAGTTGTTTCTAGCTGTAGTTGTTCCTAGCTGTAACTGGTCTTAGCTGTAGTTGTTTCTAGCTGTAACTGGTCTTACCTGTATTTGTTCCTAGCTGTAGTTGTTCCTAGCTGTAACTGGTCTTAGCTGTAGTTGTTACTTGCTGTAACTGGTCCTAGCTGTAGTTGTTCCTAGCTGTAACTGGTCTTACCTGTAGTTGTTCCTAGCTGTAACTGGTCTTAGCTGTAGTTGTTTCTAGCTGTAACTGGTCTTAGCTGT